AGGCTTATGTCTTTCGATATGTGGCCATGTTTTACCGAAAAAAAGGCCTTATAGAAAAAGCTCTTCAGCTCTTAGAAATGGCCTTGCGGGCAACACCTTCCTCTGCCCTCCTGCATCACCAGATAGGGCTTTGCTATAGATCACAAGTCTATAAAATAAGCAAAGCTACAAACTGGCAGCTTAGAGGACGGGATAGAGAAAATATAGACAGAATAACAAAATTAGCCATATCTCATTTTGAATTTGCTGTGGAACAAAAGCCAACATTTGAAATGGCTTATATGCACCTAGCAGATATGTATTCAGTTGCAGGCAATAGCAGAAAAGCTGAAGACGCTTATCAAAAATTGCTCTGCATGAAATCACTTGAAGAAGAAAAAATGCAAGAGATATATTTCCAGCAAGGTCGATTTCAGGAATTAAAAAAGAAATCTGAAGTCGATGCAATTATCTATTATTTAAAAGCAATAAAAATAGAAAAGCCATCATCTGTAAGAGATAGAAGTATCAGTGCTTTGGAGAAAGTGGTTTTAAGGAAACTTCAAAGAAACGCAGGAGACATGGAAAGCTTGGGCATCCTTGGGCTCACCTACAAACTGAAAGGGGAAATGAATAAAGCCCTGGAGTGCTATGAGCGGGCCCTGAGGCTGGCTGCTGACCGAGAACTCGGGGACATGCTCCCGAGGCGCTGAAATATGGACCACGTGGACATTTTGTTTGATTTTACGTTAAGGTGCACTAATCATCTTCTCTGCTTGCTGCTTTCAAAACCATGTAACTTTTGAACAATCACTCAAGCCTGATAAAATACTACTTGTATTCAAAAAACAGTGAAGCTGAGTATATATGCCTTTGCGTGTGTGAGAAAGCAAGAGACATTAACCATTTCTCTGTGAATGTTATGTAACAGAAATAACAGTTTGTTAAGTAAATTTGTAGCAAATAAAGCACTTACATAGAGTAAAATGATTTATTCATTTGATCAACAAATAGTTTTCAGTGCTAGATACCAAATATACTATGGTGATGTAAGGAAAATTCTTTTCCTCGACCCATCTTAGGGTTCTTGAGGCCCCATAATTTAGACTAAGAAAGACAGAATAAGAAGAGAAAAACAAACAAAACTTGATAAACATGTGCATCTTACATACACATGGGAGTACCCAGTGAGGAGTAACTCAAAGAGGTGGTTAGATCTTGGGCTTCTATAGCATCTTAACAAAAGAACAATACATTTTCAGAGAAGTGACAAGACAAAGGAAAAGAACTGAGTTTTCAGGGTGTCAAATTGTAGGAAGGTAAGTATATGGGGCTAAACCACTGGAAGATAGTGCTAGCTGGTAAGGTTTCTTATCTAGGCTCACTTGGTAGTGAGTCTGGACTGAGAGATAGTGAGTCTGGACTGAGAAGGACCTGGAGCTGTTTCAGGTGGTCACCTTCTCTCTGGAAGAAGGGGAGGGGGATCAACTTTAGGAAATGACGCCCTGCTTTTGAGGCAGATAGGGAGATGGCAGAACTTTTCTTTACAGCCCCGCCCCCATGGAAGAGTAAAGCATTTCCATGAAATCTTTCATAAGCCAAAGAGCACAAAGTGAAGAAGCAATTCCCTTAGGAGGCATTTTGCTAATGGAATTGAGATAGAGCACAGATGCTCACAGGCAGCTCAAAGCCACTGCTGAGATGCGGAGATGCTGAGTGTACCTCCCAGGAAGGAGGTTCGAGGCTGGGGTAGTGCACTGCCTCTATAAAGGCTGCGTGCAAAAGAAACGAATGAAATACACTATTTTTGTTGTTGTTGTTGCCTCTTTTCATAAAAGCGAAAACCCTCTTTGAAACTTTCAATTAGCAAAAACAGGTGCTAATGTATGTCTTTCATGAAAGCAAAATGGCATAAAGTGAACTCTCAAAAAGCCAGAATACCTGTATCTGTGTCTCCTCAATTGCTTTCAGCTCAAAATAATCCTTATGCCAACGTGGCATACTTTGGAGTGGCATATGCTGCTTCTCTTCAGTGAACAAAGCAGACATTTTCTCCAAACCTCAGGCAACTAACAATCTAGTGAGAGAAACAGACAGTAAAACAAGTCAGTCATACACTGATTTGTTGGGGTCCAACCCCAGCAGGTCCAGGGGTCCCCAAAGGTGTGGACGGAGTCGGTGAAGAAGGAATGACACGGAGGCAGCGTTCAGTTGATCAGCAGCCTAGCCAAGATCTCTAGCCAGGATCTCTAGCCTGGATCTCCAGCCAAGTTCTGTCTCTTATTGTCTTGTTACATCTGTATTTATACCAGTTGATTTTAATCTTGTCAATTTCTATTCCAAAGATTAGGGTGTTTCTTATCTCCATTCCAGGGAGTAAAGATTATGTAGCTTAAGGGTGATAGTTCGTAGTTAAAGTGATTAACTACCCGCCTAGCATTTAGTTAAGGGGTTTTATTCCCTCCCTAACTTCAGGAAAAAATCCCTACCTGGGGAAACAACCTTTCTCGGAGAGGTGACCTTGGTTAAAACACATAGCGCCAAGAAGGTGAGCAAACATATTAAGAACAGTATGCCATATACGCCAGGTCCCTTGAAACATGCTGTGCAGATGTTTCTTCCCTGCAGCGACTGTGTCAAGCAGCAAGGATGGACCGGCTTCCGGCACTGATTAACGATGGGGATAGTTCTGAGAACTGCATGGTTGAGCGGGTTTCATCACTGTGCAAACGTTAGAGTGCACTTACACAAACCTAGCTGGCATAGCCAGCCACACACCTACACTGTATGGAACAGCCCATTGCTTCTCGGCTACAAACCTGCACAGCGTGATTCTGTACTGAAGACTGTGGCAACTGTAACTCAGTGGTAGGTATTTGTGTATCTAAACATATCTAATTATGAAAAGGATGCAGTAAAAATACAGGAAAAAAAGATTAAAATAACTGTACATCTGTATAAGGCCTTTGCCATGAATGGAGTTTGCAGGACTGGAAGTTGTGAGTAGTGAACAAATGTAAAGGCTTAGGGCATTACTGTAGACTTTATAAACACCATACACTTAGATGGCTCTATTTGAAAAAATATCTTTTCAATAAATAACATTTTGCTTAAAACTCAAACACTATACAAAAATATTTGTTCTTTATATCCTAATTCTATCAGCTTTTGCTATTATTAATTTTTTTTTTTTTTTTTTAATTTTTAAACTTCTTGTTAAAAACTAATACACACATTTGCCTAGGACAGTTGACGGCAAACTGGGGCTTGTGAGCCACATGTGGCTCTTTGGCCCCTTGAGTGTGGTTCTTCCACAAAATACCACGTGGGGGTGCGCACGTACAGTGCGATTGAAACTTCGTGGCCCATACACAGAAGTCGGTATTTTGTGGAAGAGCCTCACTCAAGGGGCCAAAGAGCCGAATGTGGCTCGCGAGCCGCAGTTTGCCTACCACTGGCCTAGGACTACACAGAGTCATGATCATCAATATCACTGTCTTCCTCCTTCATGTCTTGTCCCACTGGAAGTTCTTTAGGGACAATAGCAAGCAACTGTCATCTCCTATGACAACAATGCTTTCTTCTGGAATACCTCCCCCCAAAAATGCCTGAGGCTCTTCTTGAGGAGATGGCATTCTTTTCAGAAATATGTTCTCATGGAGGTTTGCTTAGTTTGTTTCTTTTTTTTCCACCTCAGATTTGCTTGTAAGCTGATAATGCACCATGAACATTCCTCTGTAGCAATAAAAACCTTTTAGTTTGGGGGTCAAACTCTTTTAGGAACTTGTTGAAGTTTCCAAAAGCTTCTGCTCGACCCTCCATTGTAAATTTCCTGGGTGTGGCGGGACGGTTTTTCTTCTCTTCTCCTGCAGTTTCCTTTACTCCTGCTTCTTCTTCAGCTCGGTGTTCCTCTTCCAGGTCCAACAACTCCTCAGTCAATTGTTCAGGAACCACCTCAATGTCCTTCTCATCCAAGTTGTTTTCCATCTCAACCATAGCCTTGTTGATTTTTGCAAGTTCTTCATCATAGGCAAATCCACTGAAGTAATAGATTAACTTTTTGAGTGTCATCTTCAGATGGCAATCATACTCCTGGGTGACCTCATCCCAAGCCCAAGCAAAGCTCTTGAAGTGGGCATAGATGTTTTAATTCTTCCAGAATTGTATCAGTGTCTTCCTCGGTGGCAGCAATAGCTTGGGCAAAGCTCCTCCTGAAGTAGTAGGCCTTAAAAACTGCTATAACTCCTTAATTCATTGGTTGGCTCAAAGAAATGGTATTTGAAGGGAGAAATACCACTTTGATATTGGATGAAGGTCACCAGCGAAGGGGGATGTCTAAGAGCATTATCAACAACAAGCAAAATCTCAAAAGGCCCGTTATTCTCCAAACAGTACTTCTCTACTTAGCCGGCAGAGCAATTCGGGAGGGCATCTTAGAAGAGGTGCTGGGTCATCCATGACTTCTTATTGCTCCCATAGAAGACTGGCAGGTGTGCTGATTGATATCCTGAAGGCCCTGGAGTTCTCAATGTGTCAAATCACAAAGGGTTTCAATATATAACCTGCAACATTGGCCCCCAGCAAGACCATTATCCTGTCCGTAAAAGCCTTAAAGCTAGCATTGACTTGGTATTGTCTTGACATCCCCAACTTCTCTTTATCTTTATTCAACTTTACCTCTCCTACCTGAACTTCCTTTGTTATCTCCTACCGGCTGTGCTGTGAAAACAGAGCCATTTCTGTTTCCAGATGAGCAAACAGGCACAGGTCTGGGGCATGTCCTTGACAAGCTCACACATCCAATTGTCATAGGTATCCTTGGCTCCAGATTCAGTGGACTTGATATAATTGGCATCTCCCGACTTCCAGCTTTCTATAAGGCAGGGTAAAGGCTCGGAGAGGAATTGGCACATCACTGGAACTGTTCTTCACCATGGTCACCTCAATCCCTTCTCAAAACAAAGCAAAGGAAGCACTTACAGCCTTAGTTTCATTTTCCCTGGCAGGAACTCTGAAGGCATCAGTTTCACTTTCCAGTTTCAGTTTTTTCAAGTCATTCTTTAACAACATGCCCACAGTTTACCTTATTAGTCAGTTGTTTACCTCCCTTATATAGCCCCGCCCTGATCTTGAAAATCTACAAGACAGGCTGGACAGATCTCAGTGGAGCCCATCCAGCTAACCAAAACGCTGCAAACTGCTGCCTGAATTCTTAGCAACCATGAGGTATGGATTTCTCTGCTTCTCTGCCTGTTTGCCTAAAGTTTTTGGGGAAAATGTTAATCATTATTATCTCGACAGACTTAGTTTCAGTGATGTCAAGTCTCCTCACTCTTCTGTTTGAGCATCTGCTTGTGGACTGAGTGTGTGTGTGTGTGTGTGTGTGTGTACAGTCACACACATAGATAAACTGTTGTATTTGTTCAGGCATTTTCATTTTTGTTAGCATCGCCCTGAGGAAACTTACCTCATGTTAAAAAGTCCAAAGAAAAGGAGGGAAACAGGAAAAGAATTTCACAGGGAGAAGATGATTCCAATCTCGGAAACTATTTTCCACCAAACTCACTTCTGTCTGACATAGGGAGGGAATGGACAGTTTGTCTGGATAGAGACATTGCTTTTAGTGGGGTCCTGGCTGTGGAAGAAATGCAGGACCCACACAGCTGTGTGGGCTGCGGTCCTGAGGTCTCTCAGATGCCTTGAGGGAAATATTGTGGGGATGTGGTGGGAGCAGCTCACTGCCTAGAAGACAAGGCCTTGCTCGGCAGGCTTCTGGTCTCACTGTCAGCACTGCTGAACTCCTTCAATCCAACTGGATTTCACATCAGCAGATGGCCTCCCTCCTGGGGAAGCCAGGTGCTCTGCAGACCCTGGCTAGCCTCCTGTCCCCAGGGCTTGGCTGCTGTTCACTGTATTGTCTTCTTTCAATAAAGGGCCTAATGTGGGAATTTCTATATTGTCCAAATGGAATCTAGATTCAAATACTCTCGGAGAGCAGCAAATTAAAAGAAGACATAAATCAATATTGACCCGTGAAATTCCCCTCAGTACTCCAGTGGGTAAACTTTTGAAGGGGCAAAAGTTCCAGAAAATGCACAATTACTGGCCCCAATCAATCCTCCACGCCTCCTTTGGTCCACAGAAAGAGAGGGCTGTCACTGGTAATTATTATTATACTATAAAGGTAGCCATCACTTCCTAAATGTTCATTAAATGCCAGCTGGCTTCTAAAATTATTGTGTAAATTATTGCGTTTCACCCTCAAAAGAAACGGTGAGGCAAGTACTCATACTGATTGTGCAATAATAAATCTTAGATTTTAAAATGTTGAGATCACACAAGTAATAAGTGATAGAGCTGAGACATGAATCAGAGTCTCTATTCCATGACACCTTATTTAATCTTTAAACCAATGTTTCTCAAAGAGTACCAATGGGGGTTTATGAGATAAGTTCAGACAGCCTACTAATTAGCTTTTACATGTTAATGCTTTTGTGTGTTTTTTAGCATGTACATGCACTAGAAAAATATACATATATAATTTGAAGAATTTCTGTTCAGGTTAATAATATGGTTTTATTATTGTGATAAAATACACGTAAGATAAAATCTACCATTTTAACTAATTGTGAGTATACAATTTTGTGGTATTTAGTACATTTGCAATGTTGTGCAACTATCACCAGTATCTACTTCAAGAAAATTTTCATACCCTAGCTGGTTTGGCTCAGTGGATAGAGCGTTGGCCTGTGGACTGAAAAATCCTGGGTTCAATTCTGGTAAAGGGCACATAGCTTGGATGCAGGCTTGATCCCCAGTGTGGGGAATGCAGGAGGCAGTCGATCAATGATTCTCTCTCATCATTGATGTTTCAATCTCTCTCTCCTTCTCCCTAACCAATGAATATATACATTTGTATACATATATACATATGTATATATATGTGTGTGTATATATATATATACAAAATTTTCATCACTCTGAGGGGAAACTCCATACCCATTAAGCCAGTGGTTCTCTACCTTCTGGCCCTTTAAATACAGTTCCTCATGTTGTGACCCAACCATAAAATTATTTTCCTTGCTACTTCATAACTGTAATGATTCTACTGTTATGAATCATAATGTAAATATCTGACATGCAGCATGGTCTTAGGTGACCCCTGTGAAAGGGTCGTTCGACAGCCAAAGGGGTCGCCACTCACAGGTTGAGAACCGCTGCATTAAGCAGTCACTTCCCACTCATCCTTTGACCCAGGCCCTGGCAACTGTTAATCTACTTTCTGTCTCTATTGATTTGCCTCTTGTGGATATTTCCTATAAATGAAAACATACAATACCTGGTCTTTTGTGACCAGCTTATTTCAATTAGCATAATGTCTTCAAGATTCATCCATGTTATAGCATGTATCAGAATGCCTTTCCTTTTAAAAAAAAAAAATTTTATTGATTTCAGAGAGGAACAGAGAGGGGGAGAGAGAGAGAGAGAGAGATAGAAACATCAATGATGAGAACGAATCATTGATCAGCTGCCTCCTGCAGGCCCCCCACTGGGGATCGATCACAGAACACGGGCATGTGCCCTTGACTGGAATCGAATTTGGGGCCCTTCAATCCACAGGCCGATACTCTATCCACTGAGCCAAACCGGCTAGGGCTGTCTTTCCTTTTTAAAGTTAAATAATACTCCATTGTATGCATATACCACATTTTGCTTATCTATTCATCCCTTGATGGAAACTTGTTTGCTTCCACCTTTTGGCTATTGTGAATAACGCTGCTATGAATACAAACCTTCAAGTATCTGTTCCAGTTCCAGTTTTCACTTATTTTGAGTATATGCCCAGAAGTGAAATTGCTGAATCATATGGTAATCGTGTGCTTAATTTTTGAGGAATCATTACCATTTTCCACAGCAGCTGCCCCATTTTCCATTCCCACTATACACAAGGGTTCTAATTTCTCCACATCCTCACCAACACTTGTTATTTTCTGGATTTTTAAAAATATAATAGTCATCCTACTGGGTGTGAAGTGGTGTCTTACTATGGTTTTGATTTCATTTTACGAATGATTGATATTGAACATCTTTTCGTGTGTTTATTGGCCATTTGTATATCTTCTTTGGAGAAATTGTCTACTCTAATCCTTTTCCCATTTTTTTAATCAGTTCTTTGTTTTTGTTGTTCAATTGTAAGTCTTATATATATAATCTGCGTATTAATCCCTTATTGGATACAAGATTTGCAAGTATATTTTCCCATTCTGTGAGTTTTCTTTTCACTGTATTGGTAATGTCCCTTGATGCACAAAAGTTTTAAATTTTGATGACATGCAGCAAACCTATTTTTACTTTTGTTTCCTGTGCTTTTGGTATCCTATCCAAGAAATCATTGCCAAATACAATGTCATGGAGTTTTTTCCCTATTTTTTTTCTAAGATTTCCATAGTTTCAGGTCTAACATTTAGGTCTTTGATCCCTTTTGAATTGCTTTTTCTTTTTTCTTTTTTGTATAGGCTGTAAAGCAAGCATGTCAAAATCGCGGCCAGTGGGCCATTTAAATAAATGAGGCATGTGGCCCACGAGCTACAAGTTTGACATGCTTGCTGTAAAGTAAGGGTTCAATTTCATTCTTTTGTATGTGGATAATCAGTTTTCCCAACACATTCGTTGAAACACTGATTTTTCCCTATTAAATGGTCTTGGCACATTTGACAATTGTTATGGTCTGAATTGTGCCCTCACCCCCCAATTCATATTTGAAGCCCTAACCCCCAATGTGACTATATTTGGAAATAGGGCCTGTACGTGAGACCCATGATAGGAAGGGCTGACTATATTGAAACAAACCTAGGTGCAACTGGGCCCAGCCAGTTCAAACCTGTGTTACTCAAAGGGCCAACTGTAGAGGAACTCTAAGAAGAAAAAAAAATGTAAGGCAGGTATTTCCTTTGCAAGGCTAAGCTATATATGTGAAGTGTCTTACTTGGCTTCTTTCCATTGGCTGTTTCTCACCTAACAAAGAAAATCTACTTTTATTTTCATAGTATGAATGCTGATGAAGATCAAGTCAAAGCTAGGCTGGAACAGTTGAGATGTCACTTTACATGGAAATTGCTCATTGAAGACACTGAACTGTCTGAGTTAGAAAACAGGGTCTTTGATGAAATTGAGTTCCTAAACACAAAATTCAATGTGGGAATACACAACCTACTGGCCTATGTGAAACACCTGAATGGCCAGAATAAGGAGGCCCTGGAGAGCTTGAAAGAAGCTGAAGACTTAATGCAGCGAGAGCATGCTGGCCAGTCAGAGGCGATGAAGCTGGTTACCTGGGGCAACTATGCCTGGCTGTATTACCACATGGGCAGACTGGCAGACACCCAGATATACCTGGACAAGGTGGAGAACACTTGCAAGAAGTTTGCCGGCCCCTCCTGCTACACAATGGAATGCCCTGAGATGGACTGTGAGGAAGGATGGGCCTTGCTGAAATGTGGAGGAAAGAATTATGAACGGGCTAAAGCCTGCTTTGAGAAGGCTCTGGAAGTGGACCCTGAAAACCCTCAATTCAGCACTGGGTATGCAATTGCTGTCTATCGTTTGGATGGCTTTAGCAAAACACCACACGTTGATGAGGCATTTTGTGTGCAGCCCTAAAACGGGCCATCAGGCTAAATCCAGAAGATGCATATATTAAGGCTCTCCTCGCAGTGAAACTTCAGGAGCTAGGACAAGAAGCTGAGGGGGAAAAGTACATTGAAGAAGCACTGGCCAACACGTCTTCGCAGACCTATGTCTTTCGATATGCGGCCAAGTTTTACCGAAAAAAAGGCTCTATAGATAAAGCTCTTGAGCTCTTAAACAAGGGTTTGAAGGCAACACCTTCCTCTGCCTTCCTGCATCACCAGAAAGGGCTTTGCTATAAGTCCCAAGTTTATCTAATAAACAAAGCTGCAGGCTGGCAGCCTAGAGGACGGGATAGAGAAAATATTGACACAATAACAAGATTAGCCATATATCATTTTGAATTTGCTGTGGAACA